ACAATTCCCAATGAGAAATGTAATTGTGTTGTATACCTACAATGTACCAATAAAAGAATTTAATACAAAAAAAAGAAATCAGATTCCTTTTTAATAAATGTGCATATATAGGTCTGTATTTATATCTATCTATGCCTATATCTATATCTGTATAGATATCATCCAACTCTCCACACATGGGCTACAGATATCATGAAACAACAAAGGTCAGGACATATAAACTTTGTTCTTCTCAAGTGTGGAGCTAATATAGACATTTCAGGAAGAGGTAATGGTTTCAACTGTACCTTAATTATTAAATATTTGTAGGGTTTAGCCTTTCAAAGTGGGAGATAAATTTTTGGTTTACTTGTCTCACCGCTTTAATGTAGTGATGGGAGTGTTGAGACCACTTTCCGTTTGACAAATATCCTTCCCTGTGTTTTCAAAAATTAGGATTATTTATTTATGTTGTACCAATATTTCCTGGGCTATCTTTATGTAGATTGCATTGTTAAATAACAGTGTAGGAAACAATGTAGATAATATTATTTTGTTATATTAAAATTATTATATTGTATTTCTATATATATTTATAACTATTTTAATAGTTTATAGTTATTTTAAATTTTTTTATTGGTACCTGTTTATAGTACATAATGATTCTATTCATTGTGGGGAGTTGGTACATGTACTTAACACATTTTAATTATTTTTACTTCCTCATTCCACACCCCCATCTCTTTCAGTAGAGTCCATTTAATTTTACTGCTGGCATGGTGTATATACCTTAATGAAGTTCCTTCCATTCCTTAGAGTCATTGTTTCTTGGCTAGTATGGCTCTATCTGTAGGCTATGAGTGCTGTCGCCATTATTGGCCGTAAGTCAGCATCAGAAACAGCCCCTGCTCACTGTAAGGTTTTGTGATTCTTCTTTCTTTTCATAAATTGACTAATGTTATACTTCTATTTATATAAACATTATTTATAAGTGAAACTCAATATTCTCATATTCAGATCCTTTCACACTATTTCTGCAGACTACAAAATTATGCCTTAATAATAATTATGCTGATATGAATCTCAGAGTATCCAATTTCCTTTTAACTTCCCTATAACCATCAATTTGAACTAACAGTGAAATGGTATGATCTTTGACCTCAGATGCAATTGTTATAGGACCCAAACTAATGATTTCAGCCATATGATTCAAAACAGTTGCTTTTTCTGCTCTGTGCACTGAGATACACACTTGCGTAATATTTTCCTGTATTTCGGCCCTTTCCTATTTCAGGATGGAACCAAAGTCTATGGTAGGTGTGGAGGGTTCTGTGGAAAGTGTGTTCCTCACATGACTACTGGTCTCCCAATTCAAGTAACATGACCATTTGGAAGAGGAAAGGATGCCCCAAAGAGAAAGGATTCTCTGGAATACGCAAATGACTGGTGCTCCGTTCTTTACTTCTCCCTCCCTGAGACTTCCATATCTAAAGGGTCTCAGCTTTCTTTTTAAGGTGCTTATTAGGAATTTAAATCACAGAAAACCATAAATATAAGCATAACTGATACATAATGAGGAACATTTTAAAAGAACATAATTTATGATAGGGGAATACAAGCATGTTTGAAGGATTATGCCAAGACAATGTCTCTGTCAACAGCTTAGACTGGACCACAATTATATTGTACCATTAAATGCACATGTAAATGTCTGCTCAGTATCCTATTATACAATGAAATGTTTATTCTATTTGATAAAATAGACTAAGTAAAAATTAGAAAAACTTTATTCAAAACTACTATAAACATTATTAAATCTGTCATGTGAATATGAAATCAATAGTTACATCAAAAAGTACATAGCCATTATACTTACTGATACAGTGTAGATACCTTGTTTAATTTTTCCTTTAATTTTAAGTGTGGATTATGGTGCTTCAACGAGAAAAAAAAAGTCCTGAAAATGTGGTACAAATTTTGTATTAAAAATTCACGCTTGCATTAAATACTAAATATAAAATTTTGTGGGTATTAGAAGGCATGATATACTATAATTTGATTTTTAAAAATCTACCTCCAATTTTATTGTACTTATAAGAGCAATATATTATTTTTATAATATTTATACAGTATTAAAACTTTATAACTATTATATATGTATATAGCTAGCCTTTTTAAAATATATTTTCTCAACATTATGTACTGTATTTTATTAACCAAACTGAAAAGTGAGAATTCTTGAAATTTTGAAGATTTTATTCTGGTAAACATAAATTTATATTTACATATATAAAGATTTTATTAGAAATATTCAAGTTATTTTATATTGGAGGTTCTCAAAGTCAGAACAAAGACATCAGTATAAAAATTAACTCTTCGGAGGGAAGTTCATAGATGTTAAGAGGTTTTTTCCCCATTGGCTAATTTAATTGTGTATTATTTAATACTATGATTTTAAAAGATAGGTTGACAAATAATATTTTTATCTATGGCTATTTGCTCTGAAAGCAAACAAACAGAATCTACTAATAGATTTTGCCAGTTAATAGTAGTATACTAGTTTTACCCACAGAGTGCCCCCCAACATTTGGTAGGGTTATATTGTATCATATAAGGTACTAAAGCAATTTTGTGCCAGTGTGGTTGAATAAACATTAGGGGATCTCTGTATCAGAAAAGAAGTATTTTGCACTATGTGCCTTAAACCAGTAACAAACATTAATATGAAGTGTGTAATATTTCCCAGAACTGTTTTCATTTGTGATTAAAATCTTATAATTTATAAACATTTAAGTAATAAATATATTTGTGTGATACATTAGCACTTTGCTTTCATTTTCCTTACATGTTTAAAAGGAATCCTTCACTACAAAGGTCTATGAGTCTAAAACCACTTCAGGAATTCCAAGAAGTTATTTAATTGTTGTAGTTGGTATGGAAACAGCTCTTGTTTGGTGGACACCCTTCTCATGACAAATGAAATATGGGTGGAAAGATTAACAAAAACTTGTAGTACCACTAAGGACTTGGTCAAGCCAACTCACATGACCGAGTCCTAAGCAATCAGTCAAAGAAAAATGTTTCCTTCTGTAGGGTGGGATAGAGGGGACACGTGGAGATAGATGAAATTGTACAATTCTCTCCCAAGGCAAAGAGCAGATCCTTGTAATACTACATCAATCCATCCTTAAGTTCCTTAGAAATTTAAATCACCATTGACAAGGTAAGAAAATTTTAGTTCATTCACAGTTTCACTGACACATAACTTGTTTTTCTTTATCTGATGGGATATAGCGTGATATTTCATTGTTTGAATTTTTAGGTTTTTGGGATTGCTAGAATGGATGGAGATTGTTTCCTATATATCAAATGGATATTTTTTCCTGATTGCTTGTTCATTGTCTTTGTCAATTTTTGTCTTAGGATTTTTTAACAGAAGGTTTTTTGGTTTGTTTTAGTCATGATCTGAATGAAAACAAGAAAAATCAAAATTCTTTGTTTGAGATTAGTATTATTTCTTTTTCCTTATAGCAGCTATTTTAAAATATTATTGCTTTACTCAAATATTTCTGCCTCCATTTTGCCCCAATTTCTTCATAGATAGCATTGTTTCTATTTTAGAGAAAGGAGGCCATTGGAAATTAATACCTTCAACTTCCTGAGTCTTTTGCCTCTCCTACCTCCTTCCCCACTGCCCCAATAGAGAAAAAGAAAGAAAGAAAAAAGAAAGCAAGCAAGAAAGAAAGATATCTAAGTAAAATAAAGCAGTCTTACGTGATTTAAAACATTTAAGAATCTTTTGTCGAAAGGCATGTTTTTATATTGTACCTTAAATTAGTTGCAAATACTAATGTGTAGTGTACTGTATAATAGTTTTCTATACTTGCTCAACATTGCAGATGAAGTACTTCTTGCATCTATTTTATCTTGTGTTTTCCTTCTTCTCTTTGAGGAGAAAAGATTTCCCTGTTCGTGTCCACAGCTAATCATTTAACGTCTTCTTTTGATTTCCTTCCTCTCTGAATTCTCCAGGACTTTTGCCCCTGTCCATAGATCGTTTTGTCTCCCTTTCATATCTCTTAGCACTTGCTTTCCCTCTTCCTTCAAAAGCCATGTTTGCCTCTCTGTCCAGTTTTAAAACAAAAAACTGTCTCATCCTCACCCCCTCTTAATAAATATTCTCTCTCCCTCCTCTCACTGTAAACTTTCAGGGAGAGTCAGTTGTTCTCACAGTCCATTCATCCTCACCTTTCATTCACACTTTGGACCATTATAACGTGGCTTAAACCTCCGTATCTCACCAATTCTGCTTCCATCAAAATCACAATAAACTCCTAATTGAAAAAAACAATTACATATTTTGAGTTCTCTTCCTCTTGATTTCTTATTAGCATTTGTGAAGGGAGGGAAATAATCCCATGAATACTAGGACTTATTTAATGGTCCAATATATGGCCTATCTTGGTACATCTACTTTAAAAGAATATTTTTCAATAACTGTATATAGTTGTCTAGTAAAGTAAATGACATCAAGTTAATTGTTACATTGTTCAAATGTTTTCTACGTATTTATTGATTTTTTTCTGGTTGCAATATTGATTGAGATAATTTTTCTAATTGTAGTATGAATTGCTATAGAATTGATAATTAATATTTTTCTAATTGTAGTATCAAATATTTTATAAGTATAGTAGAAATTTGTATATTGATTACTAAT